GAATCTGTCAAAACTTCAAAGCCGGTATAGTAGGTAACTGGTTTATCATTTTAATATCAAATTTATTATAATTTTGATTTGTATATTTGAAAAACAATAAATATAACTAATTACTAAATAACTGCTATTATTTTTTAATTAATAAATAATACAGTAATATTTAAATATTTTTAAATTTTTTACGTTTTGTAAACCGTCAGGAGATGTCGTTACTTGTGACCATTCTTAAACAAGAGAAGGAATATTCTCGCACAGTATTGCAGAAAAACATCCTTTCTATGATCAAAAATTACACTAGAATGTTACTATTCTTAAGTAGTCGTAGAGAAAATACATTACCAAATAAAACAATAGCCAAAAGTTAAAAACCAAAGACGTAGAGAGCATTACTTTTCACTGTTAAATTTTCTACCAACATTTCGGGAACACCCTGTATAACCACATTTAAATTTATAATAATAAATTCGACAAAAATATGTCATAATGTAAATAATAAAAACTTTGTTAAATGATCTGAAAAATATAACGATAAATTTTCCCTAAGATATACCTACATGCAAATATTTATGCAACTGCAAATCTTTAATACCAAAAGTACTGAAAATTTAATAATCCAAAAACAGCTTTGACACTTTAAGAAATAAAAACAAAAACTTCTTTGATTACATTCATATTTAATATAATTTCCACTTACAACGATGACATTTCAAAAGCATACTTTTAAAAGTATAATGCTTTGATAGCGTCTCATTTTAAGAGGAAAAAACTCCAATTGCAATTTGTATTCACCCCTCAAAAACTTATTGCTCTTTCATTGTGTTTAGTGAACTTTTTCCTCTATCTAAACAGACATAAAGTCTGTTTTTTATGAGTTTAGAGTTAAATATTTAGTGGAATTATTTGCCGAACCACGTAAGCTTTTAAATATACAAGTTTGATAAACGCCATTTTAGTCACGAATTTAATTTAAGCACGAGCAAGCATGCGGGCGGGTGCTTAATTAAATGAGTGTCTAAAAAAGTTTATAAACGAGTTGCATACTATTCTTTATCTACGACGAACACAAAAAAGTATTTAAATAAAATTTTATTTGTTAAAAATTTGACATCTGTCAACTGTCAACGGATTTAACCTCGCTTTTTCCCTATTTATAATAAAGCCGAGAATAAAGCTAACTTCAGTCCGTGACTAAAATGCCCAAAAGCCACTGTTGCTAACTTCAACCCGTTACTAAATCGCCATATAGTCACAGCTTATCAATGGGGAGTAGATAAAAGTTTTTATAGAGCAACTTTGATACAATTAATGACATCAAATATAAATATTTGACGAAAATCTGGCCTAATTCAACAAGTCAGAAAACTTAGCACAACAATATAAAATTTTGAAAAGGTGCCAAATAATTGTTTCATAATTCCCTATGTAGGTATTAATATAGATTTTTCCGAGGATTTTTCAACATGGTCTTAATTTTTATATTTTGTCAGCATTTTTTTATTTATATTTCTTATTAATTTATTTTAATATTTTAATATGTAATTGAGGAGTGATCATACAAAACGAGACATGTCCATTTTAGCGATTTTCAGAAATAAGTCAAACGCAAAAGAATTCTGTTATGTTTGACTTGTTTCTGCAAATCGATAAAATGGACATGTCTCGTTTTGAATGGTCACTCCTCAATTTTCGAGCATTTAAGTTTAAAATATTTAGACGTAAATTTGCAGAATTTCTTTTAAAAATGATAAGTTATTTAAATTTAAGTAAAAAAAACAAACTAATTACTTGCCTACAATTTTAAACTTTACTAAATGTTTTAGCATTGATTAAGGTGTGTAACTTCACTCAACGGGTTTAGTATTGTTTAGCCTGAACTACCTACTTTAACTTTACTTAGGAAATAACTTGTAGTTATAAGAAAGAAAATGGCAATTTAATGACAATTTTGTCAAATTTTGGACATCCCCCAATAATTTTTTTAAATATTTATTTTATGTACAAATTAATTACAATAAAAGAGGTACACTACACTACACTACACATGTTAAAAACTGCAGTTTTCCTTTTTTTTTAATTCTTCATAAAATTTAACTTTTTTAAATAAAATTTAACAAAAAAAAACCTTTTGGAACTAAATAGGTAGGTATACCCAAAGATAATACCTATTTAGTTTTTTAAAGGTACATACCTACGTAAACATGTTTAGTTAGTATTTTCTTTTTCAAAATAAAACTTTGATTTTTAATACAAATAAATCTTAATTTTACGGTACAATTTGTACCCATTATGTAAAATGTGTAGCTATTTAAAGATTATATTAACGTGTTTTCCTCATAAAAGTTACTTAATTGTCATTTAATAACCTTTGTTTGCAGTTTAAAACGAACTATTTTAGTTATTGTTAACATAATTTTTAATATTCAAACAAATGCATGCCTACATAAGTAGGTATTTATTTATATAATTTACATTATTTAAATTTAATTATTTGCTTACTTGTTGGACATAATAAAATATGTAATTATAATGATACTGGAATGTTTTTATCAGACTTAATATTATTATTACTCTATATTAAAGTGCAAAGTGTAAATTATTAATATTTTTCTAATAAAATTGCTTAAATTAGTGGGCTTTGTTATAATTAACTTAACTTAAGTAGGTATGAAAACTAATTGTCAATTTTAATATATTTTAACAAACATTTTTTTTGTTAAAATTAACAACCTAAGTAGGTATAAAGTTTTAAAACAGATCTATTTTAAAATTTTATAGTTTGTTAATTTTAACCACAAAAAATGATATCTGCATTATACACGAATAAATGCAATATTAGCCAGCAAGTTTCAAGTGGAAAATATTTCGCGAATTAAATGTGATGTTTTTTAAATGGTGCAACAACACTGTTTAAAACTTTTAAATAGTGACAGCTCAGCACAAAAACCGCTTATAAACAAATTTCTACATACTCAACTAAATAAAAATAATCTTACCTTTTCAAAAATCATGTCAGCAACACAAAAAACGAACCACAAATCAACAAACAAAACCGACAATCGGTTACCAAGCACACGGAGCACTTGATCACTAAAATAAACTGGATCGTTTCAAAAATAACACGGCAACTACGAAAATGTCAAATTTCACGTGCGTTTTTGTTTTAGAATATCGTGTCAAACCGAAACCGAAGCTAGCGCAACCCGCGTCAAATACCGCTGGCACATGACTGAATGAAATGAAATAATCAAGAGCTCTGGCTCTGGCTTGATACTGCGTCTACGCCGGCAGGCGCAATAAGTAATCCTGAAGCTCTAAGAATAAAATTAAGTTTTAGATTGTTAATAGTCTGTACTACAGACTCTGTAGTATATTATATATAATGTAATATAGCATATATAGGTACCATTTTAATTGCACCAAATAAGTTATTGGTATTGTTTTTTTTATTTAATTGACACAATAATCCTTAATATACTGGATATATTTCAGGTTATTGGAAAAGTTTTGAACATGCGTTCCGTGGGTTTCTATTTTAGTAATTGGAAATGGAGATAAAATAAAATAAAGTTTTTAGATTAGCGACAAAGGAACAAGTCTACAGAGCGCATAAAAGTTTTATTGTAGTAAAAGTTTTCTTGTTAAACGGAGGATTAAGAAAAGGTAAAGCTGCGAAATATTTAATTCCTTTTATTGAAAATATAAAATGTATTAAAAAGGTATGTATATACCTAACAGTATATTATGTATCAAGTTTTATAAACGCCATTTTAGTTACGAGTTTTATTAGGCACGAGCGAAGCTTGCGAGCGAGTGTTTAATAAAAACGAGTGTCTAGAAAAGTTTATAAAACGAGTTGCATACTATACTTTATCTACGACGAACAGAAATAAGAATTTAATTTAATTAGAAGACAATTAATTAACGAACAGAAATAAGAATTTAATTTAATTAAGACAATTAATTAAGGCAATTTTATTTCATAAAATTTGACATTTAACAAATTTAACCTCACTTTTTCGCAATTTATAATTATCAGCCCATGACTAAAATGCCCAAAAGCCACTGTTATTAACTTCAGCCCGTGACTAAAATGCCATAAAGTCACAACGTCAATGTAGGAGTAGATTAATAGTATTTAGGTATATATACCTATATACATATTTAATAAATGTTATATTCCTTGTCTAAAACCATTGAGATTGAAGTCTTATAAATATGCATAAACCATGGTTTGAACCATTATTAAAAAATTAAAAAACTTTTTTAGTACTCGATTTTGATTGATTATTCCTTATATCATTGATTAAGAAACTCAACCCTTAAATGCTTATATAGTTACGTTAAATGCTTATATAGTTACGTTAGTGTGTCACACTGTGTGTGTATGTTATCTAAGGGATCATGTGTGTTTTTAATTGTAAATAAAATTCAAGAACTACCTAAATAGGTAGGTAGTTGCATTTTCATGTTTTGCCAAAGGATCCAATTCGGAAAGTAGGTACTCTTGTTGGTACAGAATTATCTAATGATAACTTTACCTAATAATTTATATTTATGTTTGGACATTTTTAAGAAATTAGTAAACAATAATTTTAGGTATCCGAAATCGCAGTAAAGTAGTCAACAATCGGCAGTAAAGTAATGAGTAAAAAAGAAGATTTTGCATTTTGCAACCTGTAGAATAATCATATAGGATAAATATTAAGGATTGACATTTTATTATATACTTAGGTACCTTATTTATTATTATTATTACTTAGATATTATAATACCATTGAATAAGGATAATAAAATATAAAATTAATAATATAAAATAAAATATTTTGGCCAACTATTTTTATTCAGTCTTTTAAAAAATGCATTAACATTGTGTTAATAACAAAAACATATTATCTAAACATTTATTGAATTCTTTAAAATAAAAAATATATTCATACAACTCTTATGCAACCCAGATCACATTCAATTTAGTACAGAAAATCCCTGTTAGGTGTCGCGTTCCGCTCTGTCAAAATTCTTGACAAAAGTTGACGTTTACGTGGCTCCGTGTTAAAATTTCGAACAATTTGACTTGAAATTCAAAAAAATGTCTGACGAATCCAAGAAAAATCTCTCAGAAGAGGAAACAACGAAACAAAAACCCGAACCAGAACCCCTAAAACCATTTACGTTGGAAAGTGAGTGTCTATAACCTATATGTTCCATCTGTTTTACTAATATTTACAATTTTTAGTATTAAAACTTATTAAGGACGCCCAGCAACAGCACGGTTTAAGACACGGTGACTATCAGAGATACCGTAGTTATTGTTCCAGGAGAATTAGACGTTTAAGGAAAGTTTTAAAGATTCCACAAGGAGATCGCAGGCATTTCAAGAAACGGGATGTCACTGAACAGCATATTGCCAATTCCAAAGCTGACGAAAGGTACTTGCAAATACCTTTAATGCTTTCAGAGAGATGCTGGGCATATGCTATGCAGTTGAGACAAGAAGCAAACAGCGAGCCCCGTAAAAAGTTCCATTTGGTGCAAAAATTACGAAAAGCATGTACATATGCTATGCAGTTGGATGAATTGTGCAAGGTAAGTTATGTTTAAAGAATCCATAAAAAATATGCCAAGGACCTTTTTTACTAAGAGTTATTTTAAATATTTATATTTACATGCTTTTTTATGCTGGCACTGTTACTTTTATTAAAAATTTGGCATTAAAGCAATTGGGAAACCTTTTTAAGTGAGAAAGTAACACCATTTGTGAAAAGTCAATACACATATTAGACTATTAATACCTATTCTAAAATATGTTTTGACTTTCTTAGTTAAACTTTAAAATTGATTAAAAAAAACATGGGTGCAACACAATACAATAAAAAAAAATTAACCAATTTTTTTCCACCTACAACCTTTTAATTAAATACAACACAGATTAAAAAAAAATTGTTGACCATTTCTTTTGCACCTACAACCTTATTTAATTAAACAAGGATGTAGGTGGAAAAAAATTGGTTAAAATTTTTTTTTTTAATCTGTATTGTGTTTTTTAACCAATTTTAAAGTTTAACTAAGAAAGTCAAAACATATAAGAATGTCAAGGCATTAAGTATGTGAACAAAATAATTTATAACGTTAAACCCCATTTAAGAAAATTCTAGAAATATATTTAAAACAAATAAAAGTTTTTTAGAAAGTTAAAAGTACAAAAAAGGTAAAACATCTTGTTTAAAATGATAAATTTAATAAAAATGTTTTTCTGCAAAATGCAGTTGAACTAAAACTAACAAAACTTGCTTAGATCAAATCAGGATATTTTTTTGAATTAAAAGGACACAACTTTATTTAATTTTAAAATCTTTTACAAGTCAAATTTCTTGATTGAGTGTGGAAAGAAGATTTCTCCATCCTTAAAATAATGTTTTTATTCAAAAACTGCGTTTTTCAGAACAGCTCCTGGTAATTAAACTTTTTACAATGTTACAACAATATTTTACAATGTTAAAACATGTTCAAAGCACAGGTATACCAGGTATTGGCACTTTCTTAATTTTGCTTTTACATTATAAAAAGTGCCAATACCTATTACACAAGTTTATTATCTCCTTTGACTATTTATGGTCTAAGAATATCTCAAAACCATATTTAAGAATTTTATATCTTAAAAACACAATTTAAAATGTTAAAAATCTATTTTAGAATGTTAAATATGTATACTATAAATAAAAAAATATATAAACTTTTAAAAGAAATTTAAAAAAGTCAAAGCATTTCTTATGATAAGACTTATCAAAGAAAGAATTTAGAACACAAAAATAAAAACACATTCAGTCCAAAAAATGATTTTCGGGATTATGATTGTTTTGAGTAGATTGATATAGGTACAGTCTTTCGAAAAGTCCAATAATGATTTGTTTATCTCAAAAATTGAGTTTTATTTTTGGACCTTAAGTTATGAAATTTAAAATATATTTTAGAATGTCAAAAGAATATCAAAGCAGTATTTCAGATTAAACTTACCTTAGCTAGAAAGGTAAAAACATGTTTTGGAATATACAAAAACTGAAAAATATTAAGAAAAGGCTTTAAAATGTAAAACCCAAAATTAAACAAAATTAAGATTGTTATTATTACTTATTTAAGTAGCAATGTTTTATTTAAATATACATACAAATGTATTTAACATTCTTACATATAAGAATGATTAACAAATTTTAAAAAGTCAAAAACCTATTTTGTAAATTTAAATAATAGTAATTTTTAAGATTTAAATTAGTTTTTCAGAGCTTTCTTGAGGTCCTGGCGTTAATACCATAAATATAATAGCATTGAGTACACTTTACTCAATGATAATAGTTTAATAATAATTATTCTTTTTGTATTTTTAGCAAGAAAGATGTGATGCTAGGACACAACTAGAATCACAAGCTTACATTGCATGGATTAAAGGTAGCCTACAATTTGAACTTAAAATGTGGCTTAAAGCTACTGAGAATCTGAAAAAAGCTCAGGTCATATATGAAAAATTGATCTCAGCCTTACCTGAGGAAGATCAAATTTTCTATAAACAAAGATGTGAGGAAATAACACCAAGTCTAAGATACTGTGCTTATAATATTGGGGATGATAAAGCTGTTGATTTATTGGAGTTACGTAGCCAAGGTGTACTGGAGAACTTTGAAGCTCTAGTTTCGCAGACTAAAGAGAAAACGGCTGCTATTTTGCATGAGATAACATGGTTTGGGGTTAAAATTCCTGTTAGGCTTGAACGAGTTAGATTGTTTTTAATTAGTATTGAAAAGTTGGATGAGTCTTTAAAACATGCTGAAGATAACCAAGCAAAAATCAAGATATTGGAGAATTTGTTTATTGATTTAAGGGATGTTATATCTCTTACTAGGGATAGTGCAAGAACTGAAAAGCAAGATCAAATGTTGCTATCCTATTTGATATCCATAAGAGTTGAGAGAACTTCACAACGTAATTTATTGTTGATTAAACAAACAAGGAAACCTCAGGATTGCGTGAGATTATTGGACATAAACATACAACAAACGAACGAGTTATCGCAGAATGAGAATATAAAGGGCATTAGTAAAGTTTTGGAGAACCATGAGGGTCATTTGAAGGCTTACAAAGCATTGAGGAGTTACTATTTGGGGCGTACTACGGTGTCGCAAAAACGCTGGAAAGAAGCTGCGCTGTTATTCGACACATCCCTCAAAGCAGTGCAAGCCTTACCCAAAGGCAATTTCTTGGAGGAATTAACGGAATTATTGAACAACGTGAAAGAAAACGCGCAGATGGAGACTGTCAACGCGCAGGCAAACTTCGTTCTGGACCAATCCGAGGAGACCACAACTGTTCAAGTACCTCAAAAACAGTACAAGAGCAAGAAACCGATCATCGAGCGTTTGGATGAGTTCAGGGAGGAGCCTCAGTTGCTGTCAAAGAACCCCAACTTGGTGCCCATTCCGCCGCAGATGGAGCCCGTACCCGCAAAACCTTTGTTCTACGATTTGGCCCTCAATTTTGTCGAGTATCCCGATTTGTCGGAGAAATTGGAGGGGGGACAGAAAAAACAACAGAACCAAGGGGCTGGCATCTCCGGGTTCGTCAAAGGTTTATGGGGGTGGGGGAAGAAGTAAGTTTTGTTATTTTGGTGACTGGATAGATTTTTTATTCATTTATAAATATTAGGGTATGTAATCCATTATTGATTAATAAACTTTTTTTTTGCAAAAATGTTGTTTTGCTATTTGAAATTTTCCTTGCCCAAGGAAGAGTAACTTTCTTATAAACAAAGATGTGAGGAAACAGCACTTAAGTAAGTAAGATACTGTGTTTACAATATTGGGGGTAGTTCGCAGACTAAAGAGAAAACGGCTGCTATTTTGCATGAGATAACATGGTTTGGGGTTAAAATTCCTGTCAGGCTTGAACGAGTTAGATTGTTTTTAATTAGTATTGAAAAGTTGGATGAGTCTTTAAAACATGCTGAAGATAACCAAGCGAAAATCAAGATATTGGAGAATTTGTTTATTGATTTAAGGGATGTAATATCTCTTACTAGGGATAGTGCAAGAACTGAAAAGCAAGATCAAATGTTGCTATCCTATTTGATATCCATAAGAGTTGAGAGAACTTCACAACGTAATTTATTGTTGATTAAACAAACAAGGAAACCTCAGGATTGCGTGAGACTATTGGACATAAACATACAACAAACGAACGAGTTATCACAGAATGAGAATATAAAGGGCATTAGTAAAGTTCTCGAGAACCATGAGGGTCATTTGAAAGCATTGAGGAGTTACTATTTGGGGCGTACTACGGTGTCGCAAAAACGCTGGAAAGAAGCTGCGCTGTTATTCGACGCATCCCTCAAAGCAGTGCAAGCGTTACCCAAAGGCAATTTCTTGAAGGAATTATTGAACAACGTGAAAGAAAACGCGCAGATGGAGACTGTCAACGCGCAGGCAAACTTCGTTCTGGACCAATCCGAGGAGACCACAACTGTTCAAGTACCTCAAAAACAGTACAAGAGCAAGAAACCGATCATCGAGCGTTTGGATGAGTTCAGGGAGGAGCCTCAGTTGCTGTCAAAGAACCCCAACTTGGTGCCCATTCCGCCGCAGATGGAGCCCGTACCCGCAAAACCTTTGTTCTACGATTTGGCCCTCAATTTTGTCGAGTATCCCGATTTGTCGGAGAAATTGGAGGGGGGGCAGAAAAAGCAACAGAACCAAGGGGCTGGCATCTCCGGGTTCGTCAAAGGTTTATGGGGGTGGGGGAAGAAGTAAGTTTTGTTATTCTGGTGACTGGATAGATTTTTTATTCATTTATAAATATTAGGGTATGTAATCCATTATTGATTAATAAACTTTTTTTTGCAAAAATGTTGTTTTGCTATTTGAAATTTTCCTTGCCCAAGGAAGAGTAACTTTCTTATAAACAAAGATGTGAGGAAACAGCACTTAAGTAAGTAAGATACTGTGTTTACAATATTGGGGGTAGTTCGCAGACTAAAGAGAAAACGGCTGCTATTTTGCATGAGATAACATGGTTTGGGGTTAAAATTCCTGTTAGGCTTGAACGAGTTAGATTGTTTTTAATTAGTATTGAAAAGTTGGATGAGTCTTTAAAACATGCTGAGGATAACCAACCTAAAATCAAGATATTGGAGAATTTGTTTATTGATTTAAGGGATGTAATATCTCTTACTAGGGATAGTGCAAGAACTGAGAAGCAAGATCAAATGTTGCTATCCTATTTGATATCCATAAGAGTTGAGAGAACTTCACAACGTAATTTATTGTTGATTAAACAAACAAGAAAACCTCAGGATTGCGTGAGATTATTGGACATAAACATACAACAAACGAACGAGTTATCACATAATGAGAATATAAAGGGCATTAGTAAAGTTCTGGATAACCATGAGGGTCATTTGAAGGCTTACAAAGCATTGAGGAGTTACTATTTGGGGCGTACTACGGTGTCGCAAAAACGCTGGAAAGAAGCTGCGCTGTTATTCGACGCATCCCTCAAAGCAGTGCAAGCGTTACCCAAAGGCAATTTATTGGAGGAATTAACGGAATTATTGAACAACGTGAAAGAAAACGCGCAGATGGAGACCGTCAACGCGCAGGCAAACTTCGTTCTGGACCAATCCGAGGAGACCACCACTGTTCAACTACCTCAAAAACAGTACAAGAGCAAGAAACCGATCATCGAGCGTTTGGATGAGTTCAGGGAGGAGCCTCAGTTGCTGTCGAAGAATCCCAACTTGGTGCCCATTCCGCCGCAGATGGAGCCCGTACCCGCAAAACCTTTGTTCTACGATTTGGCCCTCAATTTTGTCGAGTATCCCGATTTGTCGGAGAAATTGGAGGGGGGACAGAAAAAGCAACAGAACCAAGGGGCTGGCATCTCCGGGTTCGTCAAAGGTTTATGGGGGTGGGGGAAGAAGTAAGTTTTGTTATTTTGGTGACTGGATAGATTTTTATTCATTTATAAATATTAGGGTATGTAATCCATTATTGATTAATAAACTTTTTTTTTGCAAAAATGTTGTTTTGCTATTTGAAATTTTTCTTGCCCAAGGAAGAGTAAATTTCTTATAAACAAAGATGTGAGGAAACAGCTAACCTTTTTAATATAACTTGAAATTTAAAAAACGTAGGTATAAAATAAAAATCAATATTTTATGGAAATCGATTTATTTATTAAACAATCCTCCTGAAACTGCAAAATAAAATATTAGAAAAAATTTCAAAAATCAATTATCGTATTTAATTGAACATACCTACCTAGACACTTAATTTTTGTATTATTTTAATAATTAATTAATAAAACGCGTAAAAAAAATACAAAAAACGCGCGTTTAAAATTTCCCCCTCTTAGATACTTTAAAAAACAAGCTGGTTTAAAATGGGCATGGTAATTATTGATTTTAAATTAAAAACGAAAAAATAAAATCTTGACACAAATTTTCGCGAAAAAAAATTCTTTTTTAACAGCTGTATGCACAAAAAATATGTGGGCCAACACATTTGTTACATCCGACTATACTGACTATTTTGGAGTGAATTGTATTCCAAAATGTACAGTGTTGCCGGTTGTAACAAAATTTTATCGGCCACCAAATCTTGTGCGTACGGCCCAAAGTCTGCCCCTTTTCCGCTGCTGCTGCTGCTGCCGCTGCCACTTTTTTACCCCCTCATTGTGATTGTGTGACTCGAACTCAGCTTACTAGATGGAGCCAGGGCAGCCACCTTAACAGCAACAGTGTGTGTCAGCAAAACAGCTTTCTGTGTCTCTTTGATCGCCCGCTAGCTCTCTCGCTCTCTCTTTCTCGCTCTCTCTATCCCCCGCAACTCTGGTTCCGCCTGCTGTTACACAGTAAAAACACGTTAGTAACTTTTTTTTTTAGGGGTTTGGTATTTTTTTGTGGAAGGAGCATAAATTTTTTTACATATCTACATGTTTTTGTTTTATTTACTAGTGCTGTTTTGGAAGGGGAGTGGTGTTCAGTAAAATTACATTTTTTCATTGCAATAATTATTGCCAACTTTATCGGAAAAATTATACCTACATCTAAAAACGGTTGTTATGGAACGAACTCAATTAAAGCAGCTAAGCGGATGTATTTTCTGACAGATTGTGTTAAAGAATATTTTAAATCATCATACAGGGTGTCCAAAGTTATCTGCTCACCATTGCTAACTTTGTTATTATTGGAGCTACTGAGGGCCGGTTTATCAATGTCCAGTTAAAGTTGCAGTTAGTTATCTGTTAGATAATTTCCATGAATACCATTGTTCTCACAACGATCGATATGAAATTTAACTGTCAGATAGACTAACTGGAACTTAACTAAAGATTGATAAACCGGCCCTGAGTCGGTTAAATTACCAAAATTGTGGTATTTTTTTCTTCTGATTAAAATGTTAAAAACAGAAAAACAATTGAACGTTGGGTTTTCGAAATATTCACAAAAACAACATTTTTAAATGAATAATTGTTGTTAAAATAAATTAATAATTTGGTTATTTCAACAAGTGCTTATTAATTGTATATTTTTAATTTAAGGGTTTTTCTTCCCAATTAAAATATCTTTTAAAATATGTAAAAATATACAGGGTGTCCCGTTTAAAAAAATGTTAATTTTGTGAATATTTCGGAAACCCGACGTTTTTTCTGTTTTCACTATTTAAATCAGAAATGCCACCAATTTGCTAAACTAATCGACTTTGTAACTTCAATAATAACGAAGTTAGAATGGTAGCAGTGGTGAGCAGATAACTTTGGACACGGTATATATTACTTTTTATTAGTGATGCAATAATTACGATTTACCTGCGATTACACTGGTCGACAAAAATTCTGCCACATGGTGGGTAATTTGGGTGCGCCAATAAAAATCGTTTATAAATATATTTTGTTAATCAAATACTGAGGATCATTGGTAATGTAGTCAAGGGTTCTATAGACCGCATTAAACAATTCATGTTTTTAACGAAATAAAATCGTTTTTAGCCAAAATTGGACAACTTTTAAAATTGTCTAATTTACAAAATTTTGTAGCTTGTGTTAAAACTTCCACACAATCAAATAAAAACTTTGAGAATGGCACTTAAAGCTCCTGGCGCTTGAAATATGTATTTATACAAGGTTTAAATAAAAAACAATGAGACTATTTAACAAAACGTTATAAATTATTCAAAACGTTAGTGCATGAGTGACTACTAAAATAAATGTAAAAAAGTGACAAACATGATTTTGAGAAAACGTTGAAAAAATTGTAAGTTGTAGTAGTCTCCTTAAAAAAGGTTTCTTTACAATACCACAAAACAAAACCTAATTGAGCAAAATATGTCCATTTTTGGAATCAGCGCTACCAAATTACCCTAAAAAAGTAATTGGTCACCCTGTAGCAAACACAATTTTATTTTGTCTATCAGTGTTATTGAATACAATTGAGGCGCTTCTTAAAAAAATGTTTTATTAATTATTAATATCTTAAAAACTTATTTTTTTTAGAAACACTTGTCTGTTTTTTTCTTTCCATTGGATTGGTAACCGTTATCGTAATTGTATATCAATAATCGTTGCATCACTACTATTTATGAAAAAATATTCAGATATTGACTATTAAAAAAATGTAATTTTATTATAAAAAAAATGTAAACGCATATTTGTCAATTTATAAATTTACAAATTAGCATTCAAATTTTTTAAATATGCGATTAAAAAACTTTTATAAGGGCCTTAAAACTAAATTTATTGACAATTTTACCAACTTTTATTTGCATATTTAAAAATTGATAAGATCATAAACCTACCTATAATTAAAAAGTTATGTCAAAAAAATAAACGGTTCTTTTTCAAATAAAATTTATGGGTGGAGAAGTTTACAACATTCTTAAGGTACACATTATGAATCAATAAAACTATGTTTAATGAAAAATCAAACTGAGTCAAAAATTTAAAAATGTGAAAAGAAGAAGAGACACTGTTATATAGCCTATTTAACAAAAAAATTCAAAATATTTTGATAGACATTACAAAAATATCCTAAAATCTAATATTACAACTACATTTTTTTTTAAGAGAATTGTCCCATGCATAGTGCAGGGACGTATTGCCGAGATATCTAAGCTAAAAATATTAACAAAATCAAATCCATTTTTGGACAGATACCTTCGAATTTGTAATACTTTTTTTCTCATTCGAAAAACAACAAAACGCAATGGCAAATCAAATGTTTGTTTTTTTTTAAATAAAAATAATGGTTAGGTCTGAGGTGATTTATGGCTTTTACGAGATTTTTTGTTGTAAGATAGATAAAGTAAATACCTTTAGAGCAGGCGCCAGCTAACAACGCTCAAACCCCGTACACTGCTACACACCTGAAATAAAAAGAGAAATATATCAATGTGCTTCTATATTATAAGGGTCGTTTTCAAAAAACACCCGCCTTCCGCTGTCCGTAAGTTTGAATTCCAATAACTTAAAAATTATCGGATCCTATTGATTTAAAAACCAAGTGAAAGCCTAACAAGCCCTTAGTAAACTCTTTCAGAAAATGTTTGTTTAGTTATTTAAGAATAATTTTTTTTAATTTTGAAACTTGTGAAACACACATTTTCGCATGTCCCATTAGCGTTTTATAAAACTTACATACATGTTTTTTTTTAAATATTGAATAACCAGAACTTTGTGTTGCTTTAAGCAATCCATAACATCCTTAGTTAATAAAGTAAACAATTTATATATAAATTAATTAATTTTAATCTACTTTTTTTAAATTTGACTCATGTCCCAGACATTTTTTCCGTTGCGTTACGTCCGTCGCGTTACCGATAGAATATTTTTAAAAACATATATATGGCAACTTTTTTGGCACTTACGTGATTAACAAATGATGTTCGGACGTACACATTACCCAGTTGAATTTATTTATTCAATCAGGAAGAAGATATCGGTTGAAACAGGTGCGGTAACGCGAATGTAATAATTGTTTGTCGGCTAAGTTACTCAAAAAAATAATAAAAATAAGGTAAGAAAAAATACTATTTTTCATGTTTATGTTTATTTTAGGGCACTAAAGCTCATTGAGAGTAATTAATGACTAATGTTTTATTATTATTTTTTAAATATGGTTTCACAAAACTTTATCCATTGCGTTACCGAGTCCATTACGTTACCTTATTGTAACGCAATGGAATTTAGGGTAACGCAATAGAATTTTTCGACAACAAAGTGGATATTTACCGACGCTTTTATTAAAAGTAGTTTATGATAAACCAATTTAAAATTATTTGTGATTACAACTCATGATTTTGATCTTCATTTTCCTGAAAGTGTTTCTTGAAAATGATCCATAAAGACCTAAGATTTTATGCAGGTTTTGCGAGACGAGACAGCAAAGTGAAATGAACTACTCTCGTATGTTTTGTTCTTTGTTGACAGTGCGCTCATTTTGTAATCTCATCTGCTAATGGCGCTTACGCATACGAGTTTGTTATTAAAAAAATTCCTACGTTCTCGAACAATTTTTGAGAACGCTACACCGTTTTGAAAGCCACAATATTCAAAACGATTTGATGACGTGACATCACGATGCTATAGCAGATTGGTCAAAAATTACGAATAAATCTAACATGTTTCTAGCATGGTTTCAATGTTAATTCAGCTCAATTGAAATTAAGAAAATCAAACGCAGACTAAAACCAATTAAAATCTTAGTTCGATACTTTCAAAATTATTTTCAAGTTCATCCCAATTGAAACTAAGAAAATCAAAGGCCGATTAAAACCGATTGAAGTCCTGGTTCAATAATTTCAAAATTATTTTCCAATTCACTCCAATTGAAATTGAGGAAATAAAACGCCGATTAATTAAAATCTTGGTTCAAAAATTTCAATATTATTTTCCAATTCATCCCAATTAAAATTAAGAAAATTAAACGCCGATTAAAACCGATTGAAATCTTATTATTTTCCAATTCATATCTTCCAATTGAAATTGGCAAAATCGAACTTCGATTAAATCCTATTTAAATCTTAGTTTAATAGTTTCAAAATTATTTTCCAATTGAAAAAGAAAAAATTCAACGCCGATTAAAACCGATTCATTTCTCAGTTTAATCATTGAGTGAAGAAGTCTTTAATCAATGGTTTAATAGTGTCCAATTCAGACCGATTAAAACATAAACGCAGTTCCGATTTAAAATAATTGAAATATTATTTTCTAGGGTGATACAAATATTAAAGGTTAAAGGTCTTAATTTAGAACAGACAGAAAGCCAGTAAATTTACTTTAGAATCGGATATTATTTTTGGCATAGTTTCTTTTTATATCTACACTGTCCGTCAAAATTAACGCATAATAAGTAAAAAACCTCTAAAACGCCTTTACCAATCTTTATGAAATTTTGTATAACTTATATCTCAGTTTACGTGTTTGAGGGTTTTTCAAAAAAATATTTTTGAAGCCTTTTAATTAAATAATAAAAAACGTTCTAAAAATAACTTTTAGAGAATTTTTTTTAAGTAAATTAAAAATATGGTGTTAAAGACCGTATTTTTGCTAGTATACCCTAAAAATTTTGTACAAATCAAACGAACATTAACAAAGATGTAGCGCTTCAAAGTCGTCAAAAATGACAATTTTTCAGCAAAATAATTAAAAAAGGGTAATTTTAAAGTTTGAATCTTTGTTACTGTTCGTTTTTTTTTGTACAAAATTTTTAAGGTATACTAACAAAAATACGGTCTTTAAAACCATATTTTTAATTTACTTAAAAAAAAGTTATTTTTAGAACGTTTTTTTATTATTTAATTACGTAAATTTATTATTTAATCACGTAAACTGGGATATAAGTTGAAGTATTTTTATACAAAATTTCATAAAGATTGGTAAAGGCGTTTTAGAGTTAAAATTTTTTTATTTATTATGCGTTAACTTTGACGGGCAGTGTATATTATATAATAATGAACAATAAGTAAATTTGATAGTGCCATAGTATTTAATTAAGGTCTTTAGCAGAAGTACCATTTTTAGAGTTAGTTAGTTATCTGTTTTTCCGTGGTCTTTAACATTTTTTATTGAAATTGGGCTAAGTTGCAAGACCTGCTACAGTATATAGGGCAGTCACTAATGGGCAAAACATAGCTAACAGAGGTTTAATAGCTTTTAATCAAAATGGATGTTAGCATTACTATATGGCAACTAATGGAAATTAGCAAAGTCATGTGGTGGGACTTTTGGGTGTGGACCACAAAGATTAAGTATTATCTTTGGAGAACCATAGTAAAATGTTTATTTTTTATATTATTTATTGTATTTGTATTAAAATAAATTTGATTTGCATTTTGCGGACTACAAGTCGTAAGGTCGTATTTGTGTTTGTCCCACTGTGTACTCCTGCAATTCTTCACATTTTTTAAAGAAATTCTAAAATGTATTATGTTTTTTGGACAATATAAAATGCGTTTTTAACACATTGGACGATAGATGAAGGGTGATTATCCCTCACCGCTGTCGCTGTACTTGATGCCTATATAAGGCGCTTGGCAGCGTGTTTTGGCAGTGCTTACGCACCACTGATATCCGGCCTAATAAGACCGAAAATGCAGTGGTTTGAACATTTCGTTTTAAACTCGATTAAAGCACGTCGAGTTTAAAACAATTTGTTCTGGATGCTCTGCAAAAAAGGTTCGTTAAACTTACCTAAGACCTAGACCTGGACCGGGATTTGCTGACCGACTTCGATTTGGACCGTTTCTCCTCCTTGCCTCTGGAAGGCGAGCGGGACCGGCCCCTGGAACTCTTGCTGTCCGAACGGGACCGACTGCGGCTGCCCGAGCGTCTCGTGTGCGACCTGGAACGCGACCTCCTGCCCCTTGACCTTGAACGAGAATGTCTTGAATGAGACCTACAAACAGGGTTGCCGAGTAATCGTGCTCAAGTTTGCGAGTTTCATCATGTTCTGCAAGTAATTTTGCGAGTTTATTTACAGTAGAAGATGAGGCTGATAAAACTCTTTGAGGCACTAACAAGTTCCATAAAAAACACTAGGGTATTCGTTATTTTGCAAGTTGGCTTTTTTACTTGGGTAGGTTTTGTCTAAATTAATTTTATACAATATATATCAATTTTGAAAAAAATATCCAAAGTCGTTTAACACTACCGAAATGATGATAATTTTTTAAATTTAAAGACAAAAGAAAAAATTTGTAAATGCGCAAAATTTTACGCATTTTATGTATTTTCGAAAACCATCCATTTAAAGGTAAAAAATATCTGACTTCTTTGTTGTTACCTGTTTTCATTTGGGTATTATCTAAATTATTTGTTTAGACTAAAAACTGTTTTGAAAAAAAAAAAATTACAGACACAATACTTTTTATTTAACATAGACTTTTTCAAGGGGGTTTGTTATTTTTTAAGTTGGGATTTTTTACTTCATAACAAATTTTTGTAGATAATTATACGTTCTACAAAAAATGCCTTTCATGTTGTTTCTTAAAACGTAGTTTTTTTTCTGAATTTTTTTAAGTTGGCTTTTGGGTTTTATCTAAATTATTTGTATAAAATCTAAAAATAATGTTAAAACAACAAAAAAAATTCTGATGTCCTTTAACTCTGTCCTAATGACAAGAAGAAATTCATAAGTATAGAAACATTTACGCCTTTTAAAAAATGTCTTTTACTTGTTTATGAAAAACCACCCATTTAAATGATATCAGAGTTCAAAATTTGAAATAAATAATTCTTTTCAGTCGACCTTGGCAAAAAAAGTTTTTTTTAGTAGGTACTCAAAACCGGCCGAAAATTAACACTTTTTTGGCCGCTTCCAACATTGTCTATTTTATTAATTATGTCAATAAATCATAAATAAAATGATTATAATGCTCACCTAAAACATTAGGTTTGCACTTTTTGGCCTTGGTGCCCAACTAAATAAATATTTCAGTCTCCCTTAACAAAAAAAGGGGATTTTTATTACTCAATAGCGGCCAAAAAATAACACTTTTCGGCCACTTTTATGTTCGTTTTATGATGGCGCCATCTATCGATGCCTATCAAAAGCTGGGTAAAAGATTCTCACCCAAAAACCTTTTTTTCGTTCAAAATATATTTTTTGGTTTAAGTTTAAGCACCCTCACCGATTTGCCAAAGAATTCGTTTGAATTTTTTTTTTCTCAAACATTAATTAATTAACAAAGTTTTAAGACACTTTTTTTTGAGAAATTAATATCTCCTAAAGTAATCCGTTGATTTTGAAAATTAAATCATTAATTCAGATTTTAAAGTTTATTATTGGTGTTAAGTTATTTTTAGTATTTTTTTAATAGTTCATTTTATTAAAAAAAGGTTATAATTTTGAATATTTTAGGTCATGAAAAGTGTTTTTCTTCTTGGGAAATTTTTTAAAAGGGTTAAAAAGGTGTATATTCTTGAAAATTTTAATATGAAAGCCCATGTTAAATATTGAAGAAAAAAACTGAAATAAAAAGGGTGATAGGTAAGGTTACACTAAACAAATAATTATTATTCTTTTGGTTTTTTCCACATTCCAATATTCAAAATTAAAAAAATCGTAATAAAAATAAAAAAAACGAAAAATTACATTTTCCGTTGATTTTTTTAATAAAAATCATGATTTTTTCAAACCCTGACACCTATAAATATTACCTATACAGTATATACTTATTAAAAAATTTTATTGGAGAGAGAATACCAAATAAAATAAATTATAAAGGTGTAAAAATGTTGAAATTTTTAAGGAGCTCTTTAGAAATAATTTTGGAAATTTATCTTAAATTTGCTGCATTTGTCATTTTAGTTTCACCCTGTATAATAAAGAGATTGGTAATAATTATTGAGGTCATTGACCTTCTTTTAACACTAATTTGGTTAATCAGGTCAAATAATAAAAAACAAACTAAAACAAGCATTCCTACCTTCTTCTTCCACCTCGGTGACGTCTATGAGGTGACGTAGGTCTCCCATAACGAGCCATTTGCACCCTCAACTCCCTTCCGTCCAACATGCGACCATCCATAGCGTCTAGCGCATCTTCAGCATCCCTTTTATCGTAAAACCTACAAAATAAACCAATACAAACATTCTCTTAATTAACTTAATTAGTGATGGTCATTACCTAACGAAAGCAAATCCCCTGCTTTCCCTAGTGAACCTGTCTCTGGGTATGTAAATATCGCCGACTTCGCCGCATCTTTCGAAAACTCGTCTTAAATCCTCAGGAGTCGTGCGATAAGTCAAATTGTCCACTTTGAGGGAGACCATGCCATCGATGCGAGGCGGCGGCCTGCCGTAATTCATTTTCGCCGAAATTTTGACTAAAAAAAACATCCATAAATACCTAACATCACAAAAAACATCACATACACTCACCGGTTTATGATTATCACTGCAAAATACAAAAATATCCGTACTTTCGTACGTGCACAAAAACAATATGGCGCGTAAAACGGCACAAAAGAAACAATCGACACAGCTTGCTCAACAGTTCAACACTACGACTTCACGTTGGCAACACTTATGCATTTAAATTTAACAATTCTTATATTTTAATAAAATATTTATAAACAGTTAAAAAACAGTCATAAATTTTATCACAATTGTCAATTTTAATTTATATTTAACACGATTTAAAGCCAAAATTAAATATAAACCCTGTATGTTTAGTAGGTTTTTGTTTGTTATGTTGCCATTCTGCTACTACGTCTCATTATGACATTTCTAGGTTAACTATCGTAAACAATCCGTCTTTTCCACTAAAACAATTAAAAATGCTTTCTATCCAGCAATATTCAGACAGTAGTGATGACGATTCACCCAAAGAACCCTTGGAAGACAAAACAACGGCAGTAATAAACCAAGATTACCTAAAACCTTTACCACCAGAAAAGGCCAAATTCTCAGTGCAAAAACAGTTACAAATTTGTGCTGCACCGATTGTTTTACCCACAGGCGTCGACGAAGATAAAATACATTTACACCCTGATACAAAGGAGGTGGAGTTTAATCCCAAGTATGAAGAATTATTTGCTCCCGAGTTGGGGCCTCATAACCCATATAAAACGCAACAGCGAGCGTTTTCGAAAAATATGCTGTCCGGGCATGTGGAGGCCGCTCATGTGAGCGATTTTCAGTTTGAGAATCAGAGAAGAACGTTTGCTAGTTTTGGGTATGCATTGGATCCTTCGGTGAGTGGCGAAGGAGAGAAACTTAAGGTTGTGGGTGCTAAAGAGGTTAACAGCGAGTCAACGGAAATAACAACTGTGTTTGAGACTACCAAATTGAGACCTTTAGGTAAGAATATTATTTTGTTATTATCTTCACATACCTACTTATGAATAGTTGGGGATTTTTCTTTATTTTTTGAAAAAATTAACCATGTTTTGGGAAAACTTTTTATCATACAAAAAGAATATTTTGATTATATTAGGTAGTTTGATAAATATTAGTGGAAAACCCTAAATGATCTTTCATTTTTTAATCAACATTTTTCATAAAGAACAGACAATATTTTGATTGAACCTAAATACCCAAATTTGCTACCTATTGCAATTACAATATTTTTTCCTTTATTATTGTTATTCAAGCCCTTTATACACTTGCCCTTCAAATTACAAATTTGATTTCTTGACACGGCCTAAGTGGGCAATAAAGTCCCTAAAGAAAGTATTGCAACCCATGGAGCCTATGACTTAGAAAGAGAAAACAATACTTTTGCCCCAAAAAATAAATAAGTATTTTTGATATTAGTCTACATTTGATATTTCCACCAAATATTTGCCCAAAATGGCGACAGATTGCGCTGACTTTAGTGGACAATGCCCAATGGGCATTAAGGACCTTAATTTAAGGTGTCTTTATTTACCTAAAAAATCGTTAAATTTATCTTAGACTATCTGAAAAAAAACCTTGGCCTTGGAAAAATTGGCATTTTTGGGAAAATTTCCATATTTTTTTGGAAGATATACTTAAACATTTAAAAATGTGGCAATCAACAACTTAACATTATTTTAATTTAAAAAAAATATCCTTACAGAAAAAAAATAAAGCTAAACATTGAATTTAATTAAATTGATTTAAGAAAATAAACGTAAACGTTAAATACACTTTAGGTTGGGTCTTTTTTGCAAAAAGGAGTTCATTGAAAATATCCAATTACAAAATAATAAATGGTTTATAAAGATAAATTACAAAATTATAATTTTATAAACTGAAGTGCCAAATAAAAGTCAGCTTAATACAGCACCGAATATGTTTTTTGCGGCCTATTAGAATATTCTTACCGAATTAAAATAAAAGCAATAATTATTATAATCATAATATTATGATTAAAATCAGCGTCGGAAATTAACTTTTTTCTCGATATCAGTGTTCGGATCATCCGTAAAAATTTGTAAGTTTTTAGAAACATTGACTTTTGCATTTTGTTCGTATTACCCTTTGAATAAAATTTAAAAAATGCAAAAGTCAATTTTTCTGAAAGTTTTTTTTCGCCGGCTCAATTTTTCCGAAAATTTTAAAACCCTATTCTGAACTATTTAAAAATATTATCTTCTTAAATGAAATATGTATTATTTAATACACTTTTAAGAACGTTTTATAACATTCTTAAACTAAACTAAACTAAAACCTCTCTAAAAATCATGTAGATGATCAATTAGGTAATTTTAAATTTATTAGTAAAATTATAATTTTAAATTACTTAACTAAAGTTCATTTTTTTTTATCTGGACTGCGGCAACGTTGCAAATTTAGGGTTTTGGTTCGTAAATACAGTTGTCATGTTGGTCGCATTGATTAAAACAAACTAAGCTAGTTATAAATCTAATTGTGGTTATGTATAAATTATTGTAGGTTACATTGTGCAGTTGTCAAGTTGAGTTGTCGAAACTCGTAGTTAAAAATGCAATTAATTTGGCTTTGGTGGTGCTTGAATAAGTAAAATCATATTAAAAAAGTAGTTAAATATAGGTTGCTTTACGGCCAAGAAGAGAAAGTATTCCTGGCGGATAATAATCTTCGCTTTGAAAAGAATTTATATAAAAGAAATTAATTTTTTTTGTGAACGTAAATGTTGTCCAATGGTGAATAATGTGAAAATAATGTGTGATGTAATATTTATAAAACCAAATTCGTTACTTTTTTACTCCAAAAATGTCCTTAAGGCGATGTACTTTTTCTTCCATTGTGGCATTTGGCATAATTTCATCAAAATGAACTTTTGCCCTCAAAAGGGCTTTTACATTTGAATTCGTTGCTATTATTTTTGGCATAATTATCTTTTTATTTATAATTGACAAGTAAATTATCGTAAGTAATATCCTAGGAGTAATATCATAAGGGCATTTAATTTTTCCGAAAAGAATCGAAAAAACACGTTGCTAAGTAATATTTTAACAAAAAGCATGAGTGCTGGTGGCAACAAAAATCCGAGTCGAAGAGGAGGATTTTTGCACCTGCACGAATGCATTTTGTTAAAAATATTACTTAGCATTGTGTTTTTTCGATTTTTTTCAAAGGAAAAATTAGATGCCCGAATGGTATTTGACAAGACTGTTTCATGAGTAACAGTTAACAATTAAAATATAAATTGCAATTTTGGTGACAGCAGCTGTCAAGTTTTGCCGCGGGCACGGTCTTATATACAGGTCTTGCAACTTTAAGCTTCGTGGTGGCTTCCTTAACGTGCCAAGCCGCTAGGTGGCGCTAAGATCGAAGGGGTAAAGTCAATTAAACTACTACTTAGTTAAATGTGGAACTACTGCATAACCATAACCTAACTTTTTAAATTCTTTTTCTGTGTTTTGTTTACATTTTCAAAAATTTAATATTTGTGAGTTTGTTTCGGATAATTTACGTTAACAAAATAGGACAACAAAGTCTATACTCTATGCACAAAGTCCTCGGCCGTCACATGCCCAGACCAAACATGTTAATGTATAAAATACATACGTATATCATATATATGTTACGGCTAATGTGTAAACATGGATAGTTTATTAAGTAGCTGGGTAGTTTATAAACTAGCCAAACTGTCAGCTATTTTAATTGAAAACGTATTTTTAACTAAATTAGCGGCTAGTTTGTAAACCAACCAAGGGTCTTGGCTAATTTACTTGAAATTATTTAGGAATAGCTGGATAATTTGTAAACTATCCAATTCAATTTGGCTAATATGAAAACCAAAATTTCTAGTAACACAACAAACTAACCAACCAATATTCTGGCTAATTTATTAATAACCGATTTTTTTATTGTCTTGGCGGGGATGGGTTGATTGTTTATTTAAAATAATATATATTTCACCAACACGATGTGCTTAATTATATAATAATCATACAAAATGTGAAGGTGTCAATAATATGTTTTTTATTGCACATTGCCATGTTTTTAACCGCTCCTTATTTGTTAGCACTTTAAACATGGACCGCTTAATTTTAATGCCGGAACGATAGCTTTGCTGGTTACATTTTGGCACAACACAGGACTTCATGTCTATTAAAAAGCACAAATACAAATGTATAACAAGAACAAATATAACAAGAAAAAATAGAACAATATAATATAACAATAACGAATATCACAATAACAAGTAAAAACTCCCTGTAACAAAATACACAAGCTTGTTTATAAAAATGTAGGTTATGTTTCTTCACAGAACATAAGTAGGTAGTTCATTTGACCTTTATCCCATAGACTTTAAGGACTTAGAGCCGGTTTTACAATCGTTAGATTAAGTTAGCTTATTTGGCGGATAACTTTCATAGAAACCTTCTATCTAAGAAAATTATCCACCAGAGAGCTTATCTAACGATTGTAAAACCCAAAGATAAAGAAGGTAAAAACGACCTTTAAACATCTATGGTTCACCCTCAACTCGATGCGCCATCTGGTGGGTGTCTCATTAGAGAGGTCACTTTTCCTATTGAAATTGGGCGAAGTTGCAAGACCTGTATATAAGACCGTGGCCGCGGGTAAACTCGAATAAACTGCTGACAGGTGCTGTCACACAGTTTTTTCACCTAGAAACCATTTGTAATTCAAAATTGCGTGTTTGTGATTGGTGGAAATTAAGACGAGGGAAATAGTCAATAATAAATATTATTGTCAATTTGACAGTGTCAAAGTATTTAATTAAATTCTTTAGCAGAAGTAGGTACCCTTTTTAAATACTAAAAATTCTAAGTCAAACTGGCATAATCCACCATTGGTGGACCACCAACCTAACAAAAAACACGAGTCCAGATAAAAAAAAGAACTGTACCTAGGTAGGTTTTTGCTAACTTTGACAATATATCTGGAGTAAGCTAAAAGTTAATTGGCCACAATTATTGTTTTCCTCTTTTTTTAAAGATAGTAAAGTAAAATATTATTATAATGAATTATAGGAAGCATTTTCATAAAACATTTATAAAACCTGCATATTTTAATCTCATTAAAATGTCAAAAACTCTAAAAAGAACAAACAGACTTTTTTCACGTAACACTAGCTACAATTGCATCTAGTAATGTAATTTTATAACAAAAAATCACATTTTACACATCAACTACCTTACTCATAAAATGTCAAAAACAAATTTTAGAATGTAAAAAGTACTCAAGTAATTTGTGTATTTTAATTAATACAATACTTAAGAATGCGTAAAGCCTGATTTATAGATTGTCTTCCTTCCTTCATTCCTTCCTCCTGTAGAAGATGAACAATACAAAAACCGTTGTGCTGTTTAAAGATTACCGTACGGGAATCTATAAATGGCACTACTATTTTCGTATTGTTGACCGTATACGGGAAGGCAATCTATAAATCAGGCTTAACTATAGAAGTTTGAAAAAATCTGCCATTTTTTTTAGATAAGCGAAAGCGTAAGAAAAACACCGACGCAGGCGACATAGAAGGATTCCTCGGCCCGTGGGGCGGTTTCATAGACGAGCAACGCATCATGAAACCGACGGAAGAGGAAGCCATCGAACTCGAAGAACTCGTATCGAAGAAAACGAAACGCGGCAAAGTCGTCGAAGAGAAGCCGATCGAGGAAAAATCGGTGTTGCACATCAAGGACGCGCTGGATTACCAGGGCCGCTCGTTCCTGCACGCGCCGCAAGATGTCGGGGTCAACCTGCGCTCGGACTCGCCGCCCGAGAAGTGCTTCCTGCCCAAGTCGCACATACACACCTGGTCCGGGCACTCCAAGGGCATCGCGGCCCTCAGATGGTTCCCCAGGACGGCGCATCTATTCCTATCGGCTTCTATGGATTGCAGAATCAAGTTGTGGGAGGTGTACAACGAACGCAGATGCATCAGAACCTACTACGGCCATCGGCAAGCGGTGAGGGTAGAGATGCGACTTGAAAAAAAACGGTCCGTTTTTTTTGTTTTTTTTTCATTGTTTTTTTTCAAATGGTTTTTTTTCACATTTTAGGTTTTTTTTCAAGATTAGTCCCATTTGCCTAATTTTTTAGGTTTCATGGACTAAAATTAGCCACTAAATGACAATTAGTAAATGTAAATACAGTCTCGCTTTATGCACGCGCCACCACCACCGAATTGCAGAGTTGGGAGTACTGAGTATTTTTTTTAATGGATTATGCTATCATTACTAATTATTACTTGATTTTATAATTGTAATGAGAGAAAAATATTGAGTACTTTTTATTTTAACTTAAAATGTTTACTGATTCTAAATATTTTTTTATTTATAATTAAAAAAATAATAAAGAACAGAATACATTTTTTTTTTTGATTTGATTAGAATGGTGAATAAGGATACTTCCGTGCTTGTTTATGTTTTTATTGCGACTAGTTTCGATCTATATTAGATCATCTTCAGGCAAACTACAAAAATATGTAAAATTATTATAAGGTTATGTTAACATGATTATGATAAAATTAATAGTTTAAAGTAACAATACAATGGTTGATAACAAATATTAAATACTTACATGTCAATAATTAAAATATTTGTAAAAAGGTTTATCAATTATATTAAATATATGCATAAAGATAGTTTTAGATTCTGATTAAAATTATTTACAATATACAATGACTTGAAGGTTGATGTATTCTTGGTACTTGTATTTTCATTTATATTTTAAGTACAATCAATTTTTTACTTTGACTTTAAACTTTTTGCATTACGAAGTACTAAAAAATATTATTTATTCAAATTAATAAGTACAATTATTTTTGTATTCTTACTTTAAATCAATTTAGAGGAAAAAATACAATGTATTGATAATTTTTATTTTCTCCATTCTCAAGTAACTTAAATATTCTAATGGCAATACTTTTTAAGTACAAATCTCGCAACTCTGCCGAATTGACCAATACGGGCCGCGCTTGTTTTTATTTTGGTCCTAAAAAAAGTATCTACATATAATATTTTTGATTCAGCGCATGATTTTTCAAAAAGCTACCAAAAGCACTTTTTTCATGATTTTTCAAATTCATGTAGAGTATGGAATTTTTTTTTCAAAAAAACAATAGCAAATTCTTGTAGAACATTTATTCATTGGTGGTAAAGTCGGAACATTCCGTGGACCAGAAAGCCAAAAAAAATCGTTTTTTTTTATTACGGTATTTGTTAGGATTGAGCGTTGCACATTTTCATCTAAAAATCTCAAAACTAGAAACTTCAAGCTTCAAATTGCTTTTTTACGGCTCCATTTTTAACAAACATACAGCTATCCGAAGAATCGCAAAACATTTTTTTTTATCCTTTAATTTGTTTTATTGGTGTAGAAGTTTTACATTGCTACTGTTTTCTAATGTGGAAACTACCAAATAATAAGAAATCAGATTTTTTAGTCTCGGTCAATATTTTCAATAATGAAAAATTTAATATATTCTACATTTCACTTTATTATTAATATATATTTTACTTAAAATTTCATTTTGAAAAAAAAACAAAAAAAACCGTTTTTTTTCCAGTTTTTGTTTCATGTTTTTTTTTCATATCTGAAAAAAAACCGTTTTTTTACATCTCTAGGTGAGGGACATAAATTTCAACAACTCCGGGAAACACTTCCTCTCTGCGGGTTACGACAGATACATCAAGTTGTGGGACACCGAAACGGGACAAGTTTTATCCCGCTTCACTGCCCGCAAAATTCCCTACTGCGTGAAATTCAATCCGGACAAAAACAAGCAGCACCTGTTCGTGGCCGGAACTTCGGACAAAAAAATTATTTGCTGGGACACCAGGTCGGGGGATATCGTGCAGGAGTACGATAGGCATTTGGGAGCTGTCAATAGTATCACTTTTGTCGACGAGAATAGGAGGTTCGTGACTACTTCGGACGATAAGAGTTTGAGGGTTTGGGAGTGGGACATTCCCGTTGATATGAAGTATATCGCCGATCCCACCATGCACAGTATGCCGTCTGTTACACCTGCACCAAATGGTAAGATATATGCAGTGTGTATGAAAACAAATATATACACTTAAATAAAACAAGTGCCAAACCCCGCCCAATGTGGTAGGCATTGAATCTTTAATACATTGGGATATATTAGTCCTGAAATGCTGTTTAACGTGCGCAGGAATTTTTATGATAGGCTAGGGTATTGTTTAACTGCTGCTGGTGGTCTATTTGAACATTTAATTTAGAAAAAAGTTATTTTCGTTATTTTAGAATTATTTTTGTTTGAGAATTTATAGGTTTTATTTTTATCGAAAACTAAGTATTGTTTAAAATCCATTAAATTCCAGTTAATGGCGAAAATGTATTTGTTAAAAACTATACACATTTCCTTACGACAGCGTCGGAGCTACTGAACAAACAGTAAATCAAACTGCATGCCCTTGTATCTGGCTGCATGCCGCGCTGTTGCCATATCCTAATATTGTTTCCTAAAAGGGTTGTTTTTCTTATTTTTTTAATATTAAAAGTAAGAAAATTAACTAAATCAAATTATTTTTGACATATTATTAATTTTTTTGTTATTTTTAAGTTTCAAACAAATAAAATTGAACTATTTATTAACTAATTATAATCGTTCTCTTCTGATTTAAAACAACCTGGCAACTATGGTTCGTAATTACGAATGGCTTGGTTTAAACCACGCCCAATTAAAGATTGTTTCTTTTTCTCTGATCAGAATATAATTTGTCATCCTTGTCTCCAGCCTTACTTACTTGATTCTATACAGTCTGTATATTATTTATTATTTAAGTTGTCTCAAAAATGTCAATAAGTTTTGAAAACTACTACACTATAATAATGGGTGGCGGCTAAAAATATCTTCAAATTAAAATAGTTTAAAACAGTAATTTTCTGTAAAATTATACATAAAAGTCCCTCAAAGTCGAGTATTTCAGCTATGAATAAAATTATAAATATTGGTGTATTAATTAATATCTTCCTGTTGAAGTAAAATAAAAATAAATCAACCCTGGAAAAGTCAGATTTTTGTCAGAGGGGTTGTTATGAATACAAACAAGCTGAGACTTATTTATGTCCACTTATGAGGTGTCTCCAATAGGGTTTTAAAGAGTCGAAAAAAAACGGAAAAAAATTGGGTAACAACTGTTTTTTCCCAGACCTTGAAAAAATTGTCTTTTTTGGGAAAAAAGAATTTTTTTCTGAAAATATACAAAGCTCTCAACAACTTAACATTATTTTAATAAAAAAAAATATCCTTAAGGGTAATAATTTATTACAGAACAAATACAAATATAATACAATTGAGGAGCATCCGTGCAAAACCGGCTAAATCCATTTTATTCAGTTTTTGTTCCTTTTGCAACCATTGCAAATATTCATTTAAAAAATAATGAATGATTTATAAAGTTAAATTAAAAAATTATAATTTTATAAATCGATGTGATAAATAAAACGATAGTTATGTTAATACAGCACCGAATTTGTTTTTTTGCGACCCGGTAGAAGATTCTTACTGAATTATAATTAAAATAATAATTTATCATAATCATGTATATACAGTGCGACACATTTGGTTGCGACTCACCCCTGTAAAATCTTTATTTATTGTGCGATTTTAACAGGATTTGTTTTAAAGTGTAGGTAGATCTTGATAAACTGTATTTTTGGAGCAAAAAACACCATATTTTCAGTCAGTTTTTAAAAGTAAATTTTTCAGAATTCATATTTTTTTGGGTAATACTCAATGTTTTTTATTATTTCTGTTGTCTGATCTTTTAAATAAATTTAAATTAGAAGCTAAAGGCGGGTTTATACAACAATTGATAATTTAGTGGACAATTTATTTTATTACTCAATTGAATGCATAATTTAATACATAATACATAACTTTAAAATCTGGTTTATACAATTCATTAATTTAGTAAATATTTTATTTTTTTAATTGACAATATTGATTATAATCAATCAATAATTATTGAAAGTTGCAAGTGACACAAAATCCATCATTGAAACTCATGTTATGTAGAAACTTTGTAGTATTTTTAAGGCACAAACACAAAACACAATAATTATTAATCATAACCTTATTAAATGGAGAGATAAAAATTGTTGGCACATGCGCGGTGTAATTTTATTTATAATTCATAATTTATTTCATAAAAGTTAAATTTTGTGAACTTTCAAGGTTATTAAATAAACACTAAATTGTGAGTTACGCATTAAATACTTGTATAAACTGTTTCATAGCAGATAGTGCGATTTAACTTTTATGCTTATGCACTAAATTGTGAATTATGAAATAAATTAATGATATGAAGTTGTATAAACCCGCCATAAAGCTATAATTTAAATCATTGTCGTAAAACAAAATCGGACAAATTTTAGATTACATTTTTTACATTTTTAGGTAAGTGGCTGGCATGCCAAAGTATGGACAACAAAATCGTTATATTCTCAGCCTTAAACCGGTTTAAAATTAACCGGAAAAAAGTATTCACCGGACACATGGTAGCCGGTTACGCCTGCAGTCTTGACTTCTCACCGGATATGTCGTATCTTGTTTCCGGAGATGCCGACGGTAAATGTTACATTTGGGACTGGAAAACCACAAAACTGTACAAAAAATGGAAAGCCCACGATAACGTTTGTATAAGCACCTTGTGGCACCCCCATGAAGCTAGCAAACTATTGACTGCTGGATGGGATGGACTCATTAAATATTGGGATTAATTTTATTTAACAAAATTTATTTTTATTAAATTACAATTTTATTTTATAAGATTAAGTATGAATGAAAATTGTGACGACATGTTTGTTGTATAAAATAAAGTGTTTAATTTTTTGTTGGGTGTTTTATTGAAATATTACGTACCTACTTAAAATACATTTTTTCATACTATTACATTTTCCCCCAACAAAAAATATAGAGGGAATCTAAATAAATAATTAAATAAAACAAAATACTTTTAGGACTTTTATTTTAAAAACAAATAAATTACAAATTTTGGTAAACAATAAATACAGACTTTTTGGCTTAGTAATAACTAGATAATTCCATCTAATCTTTTAATCCAACCCAAACTCGTTACGTATCCACGGGTACTTTGGTGGACATCCTGCGCACGTGTAGAAGTATCTGTCCTGCTGGAATATCCTGCTGTGTAATTTACACACGTTTGGTATGCTACATGCCACTTCTTGTTTGTCGAAATATTTTTTGCAAGACCAAGGTGAAAATTTAAAAAGTTCACTGCTTGGAGTTGGTTTTCTCATCCATTGAATAGCTTGCCAGTTTGTGACGAACCAAACGTCTGGTTTTTTGAGGATGTCTGACATGAAGTTCTAAAAATTTATAAAATAATAAGTGCCTAAAGAGATTTAACTTTTGGTCTGTGTGGTAGGTTTTTTTTATATATACGAATTTATAAATAATGACGTTATTTTAAACCTAAAAACAAAACAATGAACTCCATTCAATGTTGCACAGGTATAAAATCGCACAAAAAGTGATAAATTTACATTGTCTGATCTTGAAAAGCGGAATTTATCCATCCCGAAAAACCGGAAACGAGGAAAACAAACGAAAAAAAAACAATAAAAAAGCGAAAACAAATCAATCAGAACACAATAGCATAACTTCCATGAATTTATAAATTAACGAGGATACATGGAGTTCATTTTGTTAATCTACCATAACGAACATGATATCAGATGATATTTTTGTTTTAGTTTATTAACTTTTTCTATACAGTAAAAACTTAATTAAAAAAAAATCGCACAATTTTTTGGTTTTAAACTACTGTGTTAATTCGTCCTAACATTTTTAAATTTATCCTTTACAATGGACTGACTAATAGATAGGTTATACAAGGTTGCCCAAAAGTCATCACCCAACTTTTTAGGGCCATCACTTTTTTGTAAATGAAAAAAATCGGTTGTGTCGGTAGATATAAACAATTGTTTATTTGGACATTTAAATTATTCGAACAAATAATAATAATTTACAAAAAAATATATAGCCTCAGGAAATCGGGTGATGACGTTTGCGCCACCTTGTACAAGTGTTTAAATTATTTTTTGTATAAAAAGATGATACCAAAGAAAAAACTGACATGGGATGAAATTTAAAAAAAATCGCCCAACTAAATTTCCTGTCACACACAACCCAGCCATCACGGGATATTCTATAATAATTTATTTATGTTTTTATTAATACATTTTTTATAATATACGCTACTTTTTATTCATGCTATAGCATATATCACAACCATATCCCAAATTTACCAGGTACCTATATCCCAAATAACATTCGTTTCTAATATTTCTATGAAATGTTGGATCTTATTTCAAGAATATTCTAAAAATATTTAGAACTGCTAAAAATATGCTATGTACATTCTCAAGAAAATATTCCAATTATATGATATTTGATTATCGCTTGAATATTCCTGGTTTATCCTGAATATGGCAAGAATATTTTTAATGCAATATTCCTGGTGACTTGGAGTTAAATAATCTATAAATATTCCGAATATTCTTGGAACACAAAGAAATATTCTTAGAATAAATGACGAATTCCCATTGGACTTTTCTAATAATATATTCATGTATATACCGGGTGTATCTGAGAATAGGCGCACCCCTGTAACTTTTTTATTTATAAAGATGGACACATGAAATTTAGCATGGTTAATTAGAATATAAAATGCCACTTATAAGAGTAAAAAATGAATTTTTTGAACTTTCGGTTTCGCCGGAAATGATACCAACTTTCGATTTTTAAATGGAATGCCCTATATATTTTTACATATTTGAAATCCTGAGAAAATTCTGAGTCAGACAGCATCCTCAAATTGACATTTTAACATTTCGTCATCAGAAAGTGCATCATCATAAAGATCAATCTAGAGTGCTTTGAACTATCTTATTTTCTTCTAGTGGATTCACACAATGCCTGAAAAATGGAACTTGCCTTAGAAAGTTATTATTCAGCTATTCCCAGCAGTCTAAACTTGTCAAAATTCGTTTTTCTCAAATAGTTCAAAGCACTCTAGATTGTTCTTTATTATGATGCATTTTCTGATGACGAAACGTCAAAAGATCAAATTTAAGGATGCTGTCTGACTCAGAATTTTCTCAGGATTCCAAATATGTAAAAATATATAGGCCATTTCATTTAAACATCGAAAGTTGGTATCATTTCCGGCGAAACCGGAAGTTCAAAAAATTCATTTTGTACTCTAATAAGTGGCATTTTATATCCTAATTAACCATGCTAAATTTCATGTGTCTATGTTTATAAATAAAAAAGTTACAGAGGTGCGCCTATTCTCAGATTCACCCGGTATTCTGATAATCTTAAAAGCATATCCCAATGTTCAAATAGTTTATGCGGGGAATATTCTAGGAATATCCATAGATTTTTGGGAACATAACTAATTAGTTAAGGTATTATTTATCAAACCCCCATACCTACAATGTAGGTCCAACATACCTGGAAAGCCTTTAAATATTCAGGATTCTTAAACCATGCTGAATGAAAATATAATCCAAAGGGAGCTTTGTTCGACATGTAGTGTCTTTTAAAATTGTGCATAAGCATTTTGTAAATCTCATCACCAGATAAATTTGGAGGGCAAGAATCAACCATTGCGCATGTATAATCGCTTGCCTCCAATTGGTTCATAATCATCTGCCATATCCCTGGATAGGACCTCGATGGACAATTCTGCTTATTTCCTATGAACAAATATTATACGTTTTGAAATAATAAATGACGTCTCTTACCTGTACACGCATGTGGTATTTTGTAATCCATGGTATACGGCCATAGTGGTGGGTTTGAAAATGGTGCCACCATCGAGCTGTCATATAAAAATCCAAACTCTTTCATCATCAAAAATTGTCTGTTCCATCCCACTCTAAGGAAAGGTACTCTCAAACCTTTTATGTCCTCCATACGGATATGCGCGAATCTGTGCAAAATATTTGCCTCGCCCACCATTTCATCGAACCAGTCTTCTATGGTTGCGTTGTATGACCACCATTCTTCTGGACCACGGTGTCTAGGATTAAGGCATTTGTTAGATAAAAAAATGATTTTCGTGTTCTGATTTTTGCTATACACATTTTAAAATGATCGGTTAGTAACAGCTATTTACGATATAAGTGGGATAAGAGCTTTATTAACGTACGCATGCGAAATTTGCCCAACGAGTGCGTAGCACGAGTTGGGCAATCGCAAAAGTGCGTTAATAAAGCGTTATCACACGTATATTGTACAAATTTTTATCTACGCCTATAAATGAAAAAATAAACGGTAATTATTTTTGTCTAAGACTTAATTTAGGGTTATTTTGACATTTTGACTTTTTTATTTGATTGGTTAAAAGCAGAGAAAAACGCGTGCGTTAATGAACTTCTTATCTCACTCAAAATGAGTGGGATAAGAAGTTCTTATCTCACTGGCGTAGATAAAATATTTTTGCGTTTTGAGGTGCCGAATCCAAATTCGACCTCAAAATTGCTACATAAAATATATTTATATATTATATTATATATTTATAAGATCTTCCAAAGGCTCTAAAGTACAACAATTATAATTTTTGTTGTCCTTTATTAGGTACTTGGTTTTGTAGTAAGTTTTGTTGACAAACTAACTCATACCAAGTTTTCAAAAATGGAAACTTACGTTATTGAGTGTACTGCAATCTCATGACCCTCGTTCCATAACTTTTGAGTCTGATGATAATTATTGTATTGGTGACTGACGAACATGGTTGACCTAACAGGACATCCATTGGGGTTTTTTAAGTTGTCTTTAAACAAAACTTTCTCGTACAGTTCCCAGTTGTCATTGTTAATGGCATCATCGAAAGTCAGAATTACCATTTGTGGAACTTGAGATGGGTGTAGACCCCCTGGTATACGGACTCCTGAAGAAAATAGTAGAAAAAGATACCTCAGTAGGTAAAAAATTGAAATGAATCATGCAATACTTAATTCATAGCTATATAGAATAGATTTCGTTTATTTTTATTGTAGTATTTACATGATAGACGTTTATTAGAAACGGTTATATCTTTTTGATCGTATTCTGTTTTTTTTTCGGTATCTGATTTTCTTATGAGGAACCAAATATAATTTCCTACCATTCGTGGAACTCATCTAGACAATCTAAACTGTTATATATGAATTTTTCAAAGGTTAAAACTTAAATTTCACGATTGCAAATAGAGTTCATATCTGCTAATTTCCTACCTACCATCCTTAGAACAAAAACAATCAGGCAGCAGGCATTTTGCAGGATCGCAATAAGGAGCCGCGTTTGGGTCATTTGAAGGGTCGCAATGGCCTTCGTCGCTTCCATCAAGGCAATCCGTGGAACCGTCGCAGAAATATTCTTGAGGAAGGCATGTTCCGTCTGCGCATCCCAGTTGGCCTCGGTCAGTGCAGTTTGCTTTCTGAAGAAGGGGTTTTGGGATGACAGCCTCTAAAAATAAATTAAAAATGTATGTAATTCAATTTTTAAAAAATCCCTATTAATCATTAACGTACTACTTAATGGCCAAAACAGATAAGTCTTAAGACAATTGTTAGTTTGTAATTATTTTAACAAAGGAAAATATTTTACCAAAAGTTTGTATAGCTTCAGCGTCTGCAACTTATGTTACTGCTTACTTTAGTTACAAAATACATCAGGAAGTGTTGTAGTAGTACTGATAATTATTTTGTACCAATTTTTTTATAATTTGATGATTTCAGAATGGTGTGATATTTAATAATTATTGTGTGTATGTTATTTTTGTGTTCATTTATGTGTTAATTTATGTGTTAATTTTTTTGTGTAGGAAATTGATTAATAAAGCAACATTTCTTATCAAATTTTTTTTTCATTTAAGTTCCAAATTTTCAACAAATACTTTTGTTACTGGGTCTACAAAAAGGTTATAAGAAGTATGGTTGAATTATTGATGTAGGATTTGTTTATTAAATCTACAAAATGATTGTTATAATTACCCAGCAAACCAAATCATGTCACAGTGATATAACATTTACATAAAAATTGTTCCTTACTATGCAATAGCTATGTCACCTATATGTAATGGCAATGCTCCTATGTCCGCCTCAAGACGCCTTCCTGGGTATGTAACTGTGATGTAACACTGTTTTATCATAGTTATGTAACTGTAATGTTACAGCGCCATATCAGTTATGTAACAGTGATATAACATTTACATAAAAATTGTTCCTTACTATGCAACAGCTATGTCACCTATATGTAATGGCGATGCTCCTATGTCCGCCTCAAGACCCCTTCCTGGGTATGTATCTGTGATGTAACAGTGTTTTATCATAGATATGTAACTGTAATGTTACAGCGCCATATCATAGTTATGTAAACGTGATAAAACAATTATATTCTATTTGCAATATTTACATATTATTTATGAAATATTTATAAATATAATTCCATGTAATATATTATCTTACTGGTATTAAAAATTTCTTAGCCCTTACTTGGTATTATGGCAAATTTTTTGAAAAAAAAAATCAACAAAATTTTAAAATTGCCATAATACCAAATTAGAACTAAGAAATTTCTTCAATTAATTGTTAATGCCAGTTAGATAATATATTAAATAAATTATAAATAAATATTACATAAATAATAAGTAAACATTACAAAAATAAATGATTCTGAAAGAGATTAAAAAAAAACAAATTAGTTTAAATGTTTATTAAAAATTATTTTAATTAAAAAAAAAACAAATCATTTCTTCTTTCTAACTTCTTAAAACAAACGAAAAGTTTTTCCAAACAAAAAAAAATCCCAAATACATTAATACTTCAAAGCTAAAAAATATATATAGGCCCTAGTATAGGGTATACCAAGAGCAATCTTTTGCCAAATTATTTGAGAAGATTTTCTTTAAAACTCTTACTGTGGCATCTTTCTCTGAGACGCCTCCAATTTTTGTTATATATTGAAACTGAAAAAAAATACAGTTTAATATTATTTTTGTTTATTGATTTGTTTTCAAAACAAAGAACAACTATTCTTTATGTAGTTATGTAAATGATATTTGGTACAAATAATAATTTGTTTGATTTTATTTATTCAAGTCAAATGCACCCTGCAACCTTATAAGAGATATAAAAATAATGAAAAATATGGAATTTGCATAAAATTAATTGTCACAACAATTATAATAAAAAAGTTGGTTATTTAGCAAAATTATTGTATCTTTTAAGTACCAGTTGAAAAAACAGTATAAAGTTAAAAAAATATATAGAAATTAAACTCTTATTTTGGCTACCAAATATCATTAAATTATAATTTGTCGCTTGTTTTTTAGCTCCCTGTTTTAAAAACAAATTAACATTATTAAACAGGTTTAAAATCGCCCTTTATATACTTACAAATTCAGCCTCTACTTCTTTTTGCAATAATGTTTTCTCAAAACTTTTAACACATCATTAATAAAAAGTTGACTAGGTAGGTATCTATTACACAAATCTTGCAAATCTTCCACAAAAGTATTGGAATTTTTCCTATGACCTCCTGAATATTCTCCGAAATTTTCTGTAAAAATATTTTTATTATATGTTTATTTATTGGCTGGTTAGGGAAAGATAATACCTACTTCGGTTTTAGCCTCAGTATATTCCACATTGTCTTGGGTATTTTCTATACAATTTCTTACCTCCACGCCCATTATTTTGAGATCTGCATTAATTCTCCTCCGCTTTTGCCTCCGGGATAGGGAAATATATTTTTTTCTATTTTTGTCTTCCATTTTATTATAAAAAAATGGAATCAAACTTAGCTTAACTTAAAACACAATAGAGAGCACTCGACACAACCGTTTAAACGAGTTCGTTAGTAAGATAAAAAGGCTATATAAATACTATAAAACATTAATATATAACATTTATATATCATTGTTACAATGTAGGTATAAAACATTGTTATATAGCCATGACATAATAGGGATGTAAATATAACAAGAAGGGATCATTTTGATATAACTATTATATTAAAAATTTTTATTATAATTATGTAACAAAATAAAGAAAAACTATGTAAATACCATATAATAAGGTTATATGGATACTATAAAACATTGCCATATATCAATGATGTATCATTGTTCCATTGTAGATATATAACATTGTTATATGGCTGATACATAAGGGGGATGTAAATATAACAAGTGGGGAACATATTTATATAAATGTTATATTACTATGTTTTATCATAATTATGTAACAAAATAAATAACTAATATGTAAATGTTATGTAAACAATTTTATATGGCAATGTTCTTTGTTAGTTATATCATGGTTATGTAAATGGAACAGCCTGGTTTGCTGGGTACAAACTACTTATTCAATTAGTTAACTGATTACAGTTGGTTGTAAACTTAACATACAGTTATGTGGAACTGAATTAACATAAAATCTGGTTAATATTTGGTTAAAATTAAAAAATATTTTTTTACTGTGTAATACTGCCCTGTTTTACATTTTAGCTTATTCTAGTCAAACTTATTTTTAAACTAAAGTTTTGTAAAGAAGTTTCAAGTAAAACTGAACAATAAAACAATAGATTTCTTTACAATATGCACTTTTTGGTGAAAAATATCTTTCATTTAGCGTCCGTAGAAAGCTTGATAATTAAAACTACCTACCTACTAAAAAACTCATTAATAAACAAGTAATTTAGCTCCTAATAAAGATACTCCTACAAGCTCATCTAAGCTAAACAAAAGGTCTTGGCCGAGATGGTAATTTAATAAATCGAAAGAGGAATTCTTCTTAGTAATCAAAAATTTTCAACACGCTCCCTCAGCTTTCGTATGTATTTTATATTGAACAGGGTTTGAATTGCTCAACAGGCCAGCGCCGGAAAACTTGTTAGGAAGTTTCTTCTTAACGTGTGGTTTTATACAATTTTCCCATAAAACTACTTGAATTTGAATGGAGTTTTGTGCGATTGAACGCTAAACAAAGTATATGAAATTTTTGTGTTTTTATTGTAAATATGTTTGTCAGGTTTTAAAAACAAATTTGTTTTTTTGTAATAAATTTGGTAATGACATGACTAAACATTTAATCAATAATCGTTGATTTTTAAATTTTCTCAATTTAATAAATTAAATTAATAATATTCGTCAAGAGTGCCACACAAAATACCAACTTGTATTTCATTTTTCTTCGCCATGTGTTATTTGGTCTGCATATTCGTCTTTTTCTGGTATTTTTTTGTATTTACCTTTTAACTAATACTTATATAAGTTAAAAATCATTGGCGTGTTTCAGAGATTGTTGTGGAAGTATCCATCAATTGATGTTTTGCAGGGAAGTGCCAAAACGGCGAAAATATAATTATAGTTTTTAAAATTACTAATTTTTAAAATTACTCCAAATATATTTATGGTAAATTTAAAATGCAAATTAAGCACGCTATAATTTGTTAAATGAAGCTTCCGTTAATTATAATAATTCAAAAATTTTGAATTTAAATTATAATAAAACGACGTAATTTATATTCTAAATATATCTGCATAACTTGTCAACATCATAAATTGCCTTCCTTAATTGTAAAAGTTTGGTCAAATGAAAATATTATTAGTTATACTGTGGTAATGTGGATCGTCAGGTTGGTAATAACGGTAGGGATGATGTTCATTCAAACGCTGCTAGATGCAGTGTTGCCAACCCTTTTGCAACAAATTTCCCTCGAAAATGTTCAAAAATTCCCTTTCTTCCCACGCTTTTTGAAATATGCTGTTACCCGTTTTTTTAAATATAAGAGATATTATTTTGCAAAAAAGACAGCATTTTAAAAGTTTAGAAACAGTATTTTTTAGTAAGCCTATAAAAAACAACGTGTATAAATACAAAAATATATGTAAAATAAAATTATAAAACAATTTGCCATATTGATAAAAAAGGATATATCCCACAGACTGTGATATATCCTTATGCTTATATTTGTAAAATATGAAGGAAATCCTTTAGCTTGTATTAATGATTATGTATATAAAAGCTGAAGGATTTCGTTCATATTTTGCAAGTATAAACATATCCTTTCTTCTATAAATACGTCCTATTGTTTTGATCTTTAAAAGAATACATATTTTTATTATGTAAATCCAAATAAAGTTTTGTTACATTAAAAGTTATATATATTTTTTGTGTAAAATACGAAAAAAAGTCATAAAATATAAAAAAATCCGAATTATTTGATTAGAAAAAGAAGGAAAGGGTTAATTATAAATTTTCATTTTGAATTGATATAAATTTCCCTCATGGACGGCCTTTTTTGAAAATTTTTCCCTTTTTCCCATTTGTCTCAATTTGAGGTAAAATTTCCCTCAAAATGGGAAATTTCCCACGAGTTGGCATCACTGGCTAGATGTTAACTGGTTTATTAATATCACAGTAGGAGGGAAGGCAGTGTTGCCAATATTACATACATCTC